GCTACAGTCCCAGTACAGGAGAACAGTCTTGTCAGAATAGGAGCTACAGTCCCAGTACAGGAGAACAGTCCTGTTACAATAGGAGCTACAGTCCCAGTACAGGAGAACAGTCCTGTTACAATAGGGGCTACAGTCCCAGTACAGGAGAACAGTCTTGTCACAATAGGAGCTACAGTCCCAGTACAGGTGAACAGTCATGTTCCAATAGGGGCTACAGTCCCAGTACAGGAGGACAGTCCTGTTCCAATAGGGGCTACAGTCCCAGTACAGGACAGGAGAAGTCAACAGTTCTTTCCCCCTGTATCTCCCTACAGAGAGAGCTCTGACTGATGAGGAGACAGTAGGCTCGGTCTGTCACTCTGCAGCCTCGCGGAAAACATCAATCTGCTGAGAATCGAATAATCGCTCCAGCGCCGCGCGACGGGGGCGCGTGTCAGAATTAGCGCAAACCTGAGCGTGTCGTTTCCATCAGGTGACGGGGCGTCTTTAAGAGCCAGGAGTCACTATGCAATACGACAGAGAATGTTAATTAGCGCTGTAAAACAGCACCTCTCTAGTCTGATTTCACACGGCTTCTCCGCACTTCGGCGAGTCACACCAGTAAGGGTTTATCTGTGCGGTAAGGGATGGACCCACAGTCCACTCGCTCAGCTGACAGACAACGTGGACACACTGTCCATCGCCCAACTCGTGCCCACGCGTGAAGATTTTTTTTTCCAAAACCCGTTCACGCCCGATCCAGTGGAAGTTTTCGCGCACTGAGATTCTCCGCGGCGCGTGGCATTCCGGCCCGCTTTCCACCTGCAGCGGCCGCGTGCACTCCTCCCCACCTGAAGTCGGTCGCACGCGACCCCCCCGCGCCCCGCGTGCCTGACCGCGAGGAAAGCGAACCCGTGCACGTGCGCGGTTCCGTTCGCCGCGCAGGAGCCTCTCTTCGCCGCCGTGTGGACACAGAGCTGCTCTAGTCAATTCAACCTTCCACACAGGCGTCTAGAGGACCACTCCGCTG